TATTGGCTGTGTGAAAGAACTAACCTGATCAGTCCAATTCCTGGAAGAGAAGATCACAAACCAGCGGCTGTCAAATGGAGCCTTCCGGAGCTCAATATCAAGCTGAATATTGCAACATATGAAAACATTAAGGCATTTTTCTTACTTCCATAAACATATATAATGTTAGTACACCATAATTACTACTGACTCCAATAATTCAACAGATAAAAGCTGCTGACAATGAAAAAGAAGAAGCAACAAAAACTGATCATGTAGGCCATGAAGAACAAGAAGAAAATGAAGAGGATGATGACTTTGTTATCACACTTAAAGATTGGGTAAGATAACCTACAATGATCCAACATTTATATTTCAAAACTGAATTGATAGTGTACAAACACATATACATGTATATAAATTTGCTAATACTTTTTTTTTCCTTTCTAATATTTGTGACAGTTAAAGAGTCAAACACAAAAAGGAAAAAGCCAGACTGTTATTACCCAGAAACAGAACTTCAGCTTCCATGAAAATGTGGACCAAAGTGCAACCCAGACAAAAACTCCACAACAGGAGCAAAATGAAGACAATGCACAATCATTGGGATGCAAAGCAGATGATGAAATTGAAGAACCACCAGCACAATCATTGGAATGCGAAGCAGATGATGAAATTGAAGAACAAGGAGTTGACCTTAGTGCAGACTCAGTGACGGAGGAGGACACTGTTAATGTCCAGCAACAGAACCCAGAACTTGACAGCCAAGAAGAAGACTTCGACTCCATTTTTGTGGACATAGTGGGGTCAATCCCAGAGTACTACAAGCATGAAATAGCCCCTACCCATGAGAAAATCCAACAGCTGAAAGAAGCAGTCGACTATTGGATTGAAAAGGCAGATACTCGAAGGGATATGATGCAGACTGCTATAGAATCCTGCATAAAGAAAAATTCATTCATTCAACAAATATGGACTGAAAAAGAAGAGTTGGAGCAACAAATTGAAATACTGAAAAAGCAGCTTGAGCAAGAGAAAAAAGAAGGTGCAAAATTACAAGGGGAACTTCATGCACTCAAATCAAAAAGGAGACAGCTACAGGAACAACATGGACTACTTGAAGGGGAAAAGTTGTCCTGCATTGAGAGCATGAAAGAAAAAGACACTGTTATTGCCTCTTTGCAACATGTGATGGGAAAAAAATTCAAACAAGGTGAACAAGAAGAAATTCCGATAAAAGAACAAGCTGATAAGGAGAAAAAAGATGAGAGAATAGCAGAAGAAAGTGAATTGGAGATGCAAGAATCTCCTAATGATGAAGATGAGAACGCCGATGGAAAAACTCCTGAAAAGTTAGTTATCATGCAAGCAAAAGAAGTAGGAACACGGCAGTTGCGTTCTGGCATCAAAATAATCAAAGACAGAAAAGACAGAAAGCCTGCAAAGAAACCAGATTACACATACCCCGAAGCACATAAGAAAGGCCGAAAAAGAGCAAGCCAAAGCGAAGATGAAGCAGCCAACAAAAAAAAGGAGGACAAAGATACATACCTTCAGTTGCACATGTATGAGGTCTACAACAGGCTGGATGAAATATCAAAGAAGAAGTTGGAAAATTACTGGAAATCTGCATCTGATTCTGATGAGTAAGCCAATCTGTCACAGAATTACACTGTTAATACTATGCCTTAGAACTGTCATAGAATTACACTGTTAATACTATGTCATAGAACTGTCTTGTTATTAAACTATTATGAGATTATCATTTTTAAACAACATTATTGTCGCAGGGACGCTTTTTACCTACAAAATAGGACAATATTGTACAAACATAACATTGAAAAGCTGATGGGAGATGGTCCAATTTCTGCACTAATCATCGATGCTTATAGAGAGGCACTTAATGATGATGCGAAGCAGAACCCTCAGAAACAGAAAAATGCATATTTGTCCGCCAATAACTATGTAAGATCACATCTAATACATCAATTTTATATCATCAACATGCTCACTAATCACCAACACATGACTTTTGCAGATGTTTTTGTGAGGTGCCTCACACATATCATCAACATATCATGCTTTCTATATGCCACTCCTAGAAAATATTGGAAAAGTTGATAGAGTGTTCATACCAATTACAGATGAGAACCACCATACGCTGCTTGTCTTTGACATCGGTGCAACAAAACGGACACACTTCAACTCATTCAAAGGGACATCAGAACAAACTCTCCAATATTATCACAAGAAGATAATTGTTTTGGTAAGTAAGACTGGTTATTAACACTGTTAATACATAGGACACTAAATTTAAAGGAAACTAAGCACATACTTGACTATGATGCAGGTTGAGACAGCAAATATATTCCTCTGTCTTCTTAAGGAATGTGCTGCAGTATCACTGAAAACAAAACTCGTCCAAATTCCTGATTTTGATGCCAAGATGCCGAGAGGGCTTAATGAAGCTTCAGCTAGAATGATATCAAAAATACTTGCCAGCAACGAACTTACACCAGAATATGCTCAGACAATGAAGTATCTGATTTGTCATGATACTACTAACTTCAAGCTGACTGAGAACAGAGAATGTCCCCAACAAGCAAACAATTCGTAAGTTACGCAATAACAGTGAAACTTTCATCCTATTCAACTAAAAAAATACTGAAATAACTCCTGCATGCGTATCTCTATTATGCAGCAATGATTGTGGCGTCTTTGTCATGCACTTCATGAAGCAGCTTTCCAAAGACCAACAAATAGAATCAGATTTCAACAAAGAAAAGGTCTGGCAAATGAGAAAAGAAGTCCTCATGAAAATTATGAGAAATGAAAGAAGTTGGATTTCCATCAAAGAAAGAGAAGAGAGAAATGCAAAATAATGAAGTTGTAATCAAATATTTTGCCAAAATTCTTGCTTATATTGTAGTTTCTTAGGACTTGTGTAGGTTTAGAACATTGAAGTAAAGTGATTTTCAAATTCAAGTTATGTACTTATTCAAAAACCAGTTTATTTACGTGAATTAACAGTGTATGTAACCTGAAATAATGGTCTCCATAGCACTAAAACAACTAAAAAGGTGAACTACAACAAATAACAACGCACTCTCAATACAATGTTAAATGCTATTTGATAGAAATAAATTGTTAATACCATGTCATAGAACTATCTTTCAATTTCACAATGGCATGAACAGTGAGCATTAAATAGTGTTCGTTCATTTATAGATTATTCAAACAGCAGTAATGCTTAATTCATATCAAACTTCAAAACCGAAATTTGCAAAATACCAAAAATGGTAAATATTATGTATTAATACCAAAAATTCAAAGTGTATTCATATGCAGTGACTGCTATTTCACCGTATTAACAACTTGCATATCAATTTCTATTCCTTTCAACTATGATTGTCATTAATCAATCACATAGCACTTTAACTAGTTAAAAACTAACTACTCTCATTCAAGTCTTTATACTCAGAACCTTTACATCAAATAGGAACCTTGCAAGTCCTCCTATTATGACGATCACAAGAACCGTATCTCTTGCACTTTACCTGCCTTTTAGTTTCACTGCTTGACTTGAAGCGCTTTGTTGGAGGTCGTCCCGGAGGCTTTCTTGTATGAGGAGGTAGAAGAAAAACATCTCCAGGAGGAGGCTTCTCAATATCAGGTATGGGAAATATAGGGGTTGCATAAGTAGCC